ACAGATGTGACCTTTACTAGTGAGAATCATGTGCCTGGAGCTATTGAAAAGGAAGCAGAAAGCAACTGTGGTGAAGTTGGTCATCTGAGCAGAGCCTGTCCTAAGCTATCTAAGGAGATGGAGTCAAGTGAATGTGGACAAGGTGGAGGCCGTGTTCGTGGTCGTTGGGGTCGAAAAGTTGGATGCGGGGCTACCAGTCAAATTTGATGGTAGCAGAGGACGAGGGAGAGACATGTGTGATCTTTACTAGTGAGAATCATGAGTGTCTGGAGTTGTTGAAAAGGAAGCATAAAGCAGCAGGAGACGGAGCTGAGAATGTATCAAATTCATCGACATCAAGGGGTAACATTGCTACTTATGCTCGCTTCAGCAAAAGTACTGGTGACACACTTACTCGTCTCTATTTTCACCATAAAATCATCAGAGAATGAATCATAGATTCTGGTGTTTCTCGTCACGTGATAGGTACTACTAGAGTTTTCTTCATACATTCATCTAGCAGTACCAGGGTTTGATTGATGGTATAACGCAGCTTGTAGTTGGTAAGAGTACATTGAGATGTACCAATCATATGACTTCGTACAATATTTTGAATACTTTTTTTTTAGTAAACCTCTTATTCATTAGTGTCATTATTCTTTAATTAAAATACAATGTTTCTTTTAATATTTCTCAGGTAATCTTCCAAGAGAAAGGGACGAGCCGAATACTTAGGACTGGAACAGGATATATAGCAGACTCTGGTACTTTGACCGAGAGGGGATGGACTCGGCCCTGATATCCATGGTGGCTGCAGTAAGATAATCTAAGAGGAATGTCGAGGATGTGTTACTGCTACATCACAGACGTACGGGACATTCTACTCTTAGTTTACTGAGTTGGTTGCATCCATATATTTATGAAAAAGTAAAAAAATGAGAAACTAGTGTGTGTGTGATGCTTGTGAACCAAACATACTCACTAGAAGCTCTTATGTCAGCTCTGGGAATAAGAGTTTTGGTGTGTTTGATTTGATACTTTCTAATATATGGGGGCCTCATCCTACTAGTTCTCTGAATGGTTATTGGTATTTTATTGCGTTTACTAATTGCTTTTCTCGTGTTGCCCAAATATACATGATTAAACAAAAGAGTGAAGTGGTTCTTACTTTGAAGATTTTCATAATGCAATTCAAACTCAATATGGTTTGCAGTTGTGAAGGCACCTGCGATCTGATAATGGGATAATATATCAACAAGGCATTTGAGGACTACCTATCAGCTTAAGGGATACAACACCAGACCACATACTCATACACACCAACACAGAATGGAGTAGCAGAGATGAAGAATCAACATCTTCTAGAAATAGCCCGAAGCATGACAATGGCAATGAAGGTCTTGCGACATTTATGGGGGCAAATAGTGTTGACATCAGCTCAATTGATTAGCAGGGCCCTAAAGAGTGCTTGAGTGGAAGCCTCCTTGTCAGATGTTGAAAGGAGACACTAGTGGGATCCTTCTATTAAAGGTATTTTGATGTGTATGCTTTGTGAAAGACAACAAGCCATCTGTAGGAAAATTTGATCCCGGAGCTGTAAAATGTGTGTTTGTGAGGTATTCTGCTATTCAAAAAGGTCATGTATGCTGGAGCTTGATTGAAAAGAGACTCTTTATGAGTAAGGATGTGTCATTCAGAGTTTGAGCCATACTACACTCTGAAGTTGAATTCACCCTTCGGTGCCTCAACAACCATTCGAGATATGAGACAAGAGAGTAAGAAGTGGCGATAATGAAGTGGTGCGAGTGGAAGAAATGCCATACCCTGTGACGTGAGATGAATCAACTGAAGAAACAGAAATCGAGGAGGTTGACCCCAGTGGTGGTGGGGATTCAGACTGAATGTGTGCTAAAAGTGTATATACGGGGGAAGAAGCAAAGTGAGGGAACAAAGTCTGTTGTGCTAACAAGTCCTCTGTTCTAGTCTTCCCAAACTCTTGATACACCTACACCATCAACATTTGATTCAAAACTCCCAGGTGATATTATTGCTCCTCCATCCACTACTACCCCCAATGTTAAGGACGACTTCCCGTATCAATGTGGGACATCCTTTTGATCGTTTTGGGTGGAAACTTGACATTGAGAACTTTATTTCTTATTCTAACTTCTCAACTTTGCATGGAGTATTCATTGCATCATTGGATTCATCTCTATACCAAAGTGTTGGCAAACTGCTAAAGAGGATCCCAAGTGAAATGCGGCGATGCATGAAGAACTTGGTGCTCTTGATAAAAATTGAATATGTGTGATTGTACCACTAACGGCAGGGAACGAGGTAGTTGGATGTACCACTAACGGCAGTGTGGATAATATATATCTCATAAAGGATTTAACACCTAATGCACATACAAAACACATAATAGAAGCAATTTATCGCAAAAGGATAGTGATAAAATGAAGATTCAGCTCGGTGTTTCTTTTGTTAATTTGTATTGTCTACTAAAAGAAAGAATTCATGTGGCTTATATTTATGCCATCTACATATTCTAATATAAAAGACCCTACAAGAAGACCTATAATAAACTTTAGCTTTGATAATATGATTGATTTTTGCCTGAAAATATCAACTGAAATATAACAGAACACCAAATGATTTCTTTAAGACATTGGTGAACAAAATTTTTCATAAGCTACTTAAGTCCTAGTAAGGCTCCATATCTCAATAACAGGAAGCATAAGAAAATGAAATAGCAGACGGTGAGGACATCAGAAGGGCTAGTTTTAAATAATCCCTAATTTTTAAGGATAAATAAGCGCTCACCCCACATAGGTTCAGAAGCCTATGTCTCAAGATCAATAAAGTAACATACATTTTATGAATACCTACATTAAGCAACTTTTAGGTTTCTAAGGACAGTGGATTTTAGTATTCATCCCCTCACTCTACTTCCTTGCTATCATCAAATGGTATAATCTTTAATTGTTTGGCTTCCTACCCTTTTTGGTTATACCAAGAGGAGAAGAAGTTTGTGTTTATACTTGTGCGGTTTAGGTGTACAAAGGTTTTTAAACGGCTTTTTTTTTTCTTTTTTTTTTTGGGGGGCTTTTACTCTATAAATATCAATTTGTATTTTTTTATTAAATGTCAATTTTTCAGAATCCATCTTCTCCTACTTTCTTCTCAACCATAGGAAACCTGTGTACATGCTTGTTCTTCCAAAAGCTCTAGTCCTTTCACTTTCATTCAACCATCAAGATGTATTGCCTAGCCAACTAGGGCTAGAAGTGGATCTTCAACCTTGAAGGAGGTTAACCATGTTCCTTCTCGAGTATGGAAGCAACTTTTATGACTTTGACACCAGATTGTAGTGAACGAGTCATCCAGTTGAACCTAAGTAAAGAGAAATTGTAGAACATACAAAAGTTAAGGCCAAACCATAATAAAAAATTAAGTTGGTTTGTTCTATCATATTTTTTACAATCTTTCAATCATACTTTTTGTTCAGTTTTCATATAATTTTTGGTTGGATAAATTGTTTGAAATCAAATATTTTGAAGGCCGAGTCTGCTCCATTTCATTCATCCACCAGTATTGTATTCCAAAGCTGGTTAGGGCTAAGTGTGCATCTTCAAACTTGGAAGGAGGCTAATAATTCTCTTTCTTGATACAATGGAAGTGACCTATATAGTATTATGCCAAGTTTTAGGGGAATAATCTAGTGAAATCAGAGCAATCAGAACTGACAGGGCTGATGTAAGTCCAGTTAAGGTCAAAGAATTATAAAAATATACAGTTTATTTGTTATAACATGTCTTAATATTCTTGCATTCATATTTTTATTTCCGATTTATTTTTGGGTGAATTTTTTAAAACACAACATTTTGAATCTCCCTCATCCCTAACTCTTCTTTTCCTCCACAATTTGTCCTTATTTTTACATTTATACATTTTATTATATATATATATATTATATATATATATAAGTTATTGTTTGAAAATCAATAAGAATTCATCTTAAGGGATTGAAAATTGAATATATTTATGCCTGTGATTGCGCTCCAAAGGTTGTTCGGCTGCAAGAAGGATATAGTACATCTTGATAAGAGCTAAGTCCTAAACAATGTTTCCTATAAAGGGTGTTAAATACTTCAAAATTTAAGTAATTCATTGGCTCTAAAATTTTAATATAAGAAAATAGATGAAAATAGAGAGCTTCCTTGATCACTTTCACCAATTTCACAAACTGTAAGATACAAGAAGAAGAGATGGAAATAAGGTCATGAAAACTATATTCTTGCTTTTAGAATATTATTCTCTTATTTGATATTTGTACCAAAACAATATATCTTACTTGAAAAACAAGAAATTTTAGTAAAAGCATACTTAGATTTAGAAGATATCAATTCCAATTCTAGCAAATTCTAGACTTACAATGAAATGGAGAGTAAAAGGATCTATATTTTCTAAAGGATTTAAGTTCTTTCTGTTAACAATGGGCAAGCAAGTTAAATCAAACTTAAATCTTATCTTAAAGCCACCACCAAGCAAAAGCTTAAATAAAATCCAACTCAAATCTTGCCTAAAAGTTGCCATCAAATAAACCCTAAATCAAACCAACGCAGTTCAAGCCAGCTTCAAATATCGGTTGAGCCAACTAATATATAGGCTTGATTTGAAAATAGATCGAATAGCTTTGAGCCAATATTATGAGGAGGTCGGATTGGCCTAAGATTAACGTCCCCGACCATGAAGGTAAGATTAAAAAACCAGTAGAAGTTTTACCGGAAACACAAGTATAACGCAGCATATAGTAGACTACTCTAAGATATAGCAAAAGAATCTTTGAAATGATTGCACAAAACTGCCACAGCTACAAAAAATCCTATGTAATTAGAATCAACGCAGCAAGAAATCATTCATTCATTCAATTCTCTGGCATTATATTCAAAAATCAAAAAAACACAACGAAAAAAAAATGCAGTACAGTATTAAAATAGAGAGCTGGAAATCACACATACCAATTCAAGGAGTGTGGCAGCATCATGACGCGGAGAAAACCTAGAGTTCTTCTGACCAGAGACGATCTCAATGACGAGTACTCCAAAGCTGAAGACGTCGACTTTTGGGGAGAGAGTGCCACTCATGAAATACTCCGGTGCCATGTAGCCATTGGTGCCGGCAACACGGGTTTGGACATGGGCGAGTTCATCTGGGAAGAGCCGAGCCATGCCGAAGTCTGCGATTTTAGGGTTCCAGCGACCGTCCAGGAGGATGTTGCTTGCCTTTATATCCCGATGAATGATGGGCGTGTGCGCGTCCTCATGCAGGTATAGAAGACCTTTTGCTACCCCAACAATCACCTCGAACCTCCGTTCCCAATGGAGAAACTCCGATCCTTCCCCTGTTTCATCTCATCATTTTTGCATGAAAGCCCTATGTAAATCATCTGGAGATTACCTCTTGGGAATTCTGCATCTATATATATAGTGCTACTTGGCTTTTTAATTAAGTGAAATAAATAAAAGGGACATTTACAAACATACCATCTAATTCATGTGTATTTACATATCTAACACCTAAAATTTAATTTTTACATTTAAACCACCCAAATCGTTAATACACTTCAAAAATATCAACATTTTGATTTTTTAAAGTAAAATATACTTTTTTATGCATTAGGTATGGTGGCATTTATGAAATAGTTGAAGTTGAGATGTTAGATATGTAAATGCATAGGAATTGTGTGGTGTGCATGTAAATCTTCCTAAGTAAAATTAATTGGGCCTTACCACACTTCTGCATATAATATTTTAATCTTTAAATTTCATAGATGCCCAAGTTATTTAAAATAAAATATGTTTTTCATGTATAGATTTTGATATAATTTTGGTACTAAAATATTTAATAAGAAACTATGATAAGTGTTTAATATAAAAATAAATAAAAATTTTATGGTATATGTATTTGTAAATCCACTAAAATTAATTTCTATAGGTTTTTTTTATAATTGATTTAATTGACTTATTATGAAATATAAGGCTTTATACTTATCGCGTATAAGAGTTAAAATATTTCTAGTACAAAAAAATAAAGTCATATATTTAAGTCAACACTATAGCATGATTTCTTACATAAAATAAAAAATAAATATTTATAATGTTAGGCCTGACAAAAATGTCAATGTAGAAATGTTGAAGAAATGATGACAAGTAATGGGCTTTAGTGTTGTTGACAATTGGTACATGCAATCCAACGGCTATGGTGATCAACATTTGTTAATGATGGGCTACAAAGATTGAGGGATGTTCATCACATGATAAGATCTAAGCATCAAGAGATGGTCAATCAGGAATGGTGTCAACATTGATTGGTAAAAATTAATAATAGTTGAGTGATGGCGATAAAAAATTGGCAATTTAGAAATGATTGTCGGGCAACTATTTAGAGTATGTTTTTAATAATGTCATGACCTTGAGAGCGGCGAGGGGTGACAAAAGCCCCAACACGGTTTACGCACATGAGATTTGTATTTTCTACCAACAGTTATGTTGTGGTTTGTGTTTGTTGACATCATTTTTGGTTGAGGTCTAGTTTTTCCACTTTAGTAGCCTAGGGTTTAGCCATAAGACTTTCATGTTGGCTATTCCTAGATGGCTAGAAAATGAACTTTCACCAATAGAAATTCTAAACTCTTCTTTGCTCAGCTTGAAGTTCCACATGTTAGTCATAACTTCTAGCACTTAGTAGGTGTGGTCAATATGGAGGAGCTCAAGGGGAGTTCCCCCATAGGATGGTCAGACCTTAGGACTAACCCTGGGTGGTCTGGTTTTGGTGGAGCTAACTTACACACACTACTTCACTCACCCCAAACCTTAGGACCCCTTAGGTTGACCTCCTGTCTATTTTTGGAAAGCTCATATGGGTGAACCTATACCCCTAGTTTTTGGCTGAAAGGGTTAGAACCAGCATATTGAGCATTCAAAATAAGTCCTCATATGACTTATATTGGTTTGATATGTCTTTTGGCTTTATGGCTTATTGGTCCATTTTGGCCCAAAACCACCAAATTACCAAAATACCCTTACAACCCTAATTTTTGCCAAAATTCCCAAAATACCCAAATTTGTTCAAAAATCATTTCAAACCACTCACCACTACCTAATGAGTAAAATTCACAAAACTTACCAAACTTCCAAAATACCCCCAAAAAATTATCAAAATTACCAAAATGTTATAATGACCTAAAAATTCCAAAAATTCCCAAAAATTCCAAAATCATCCCAAATATTCCCAATTTCAATTTTTTATCATAAAATTGACTAGATTTGACCAATATTTGACCAAATTAGTCCAATTTGACCAAAAGCCTCAATTTGCCCTTAAAGGCCCAAATGTCCTCAAATTAGCCCCAATCTTAGCCCAATTGACCTCAATCTTGCCCAATTTCAATTCCAAATCAAAATTCAGCATCCCCAATCCTAATTTAAACAAAGTTCAAGCCCAATTTCATTCAAATCAGAAAGGCCCAATTTTGACTATATGCTTAAATCTATCAAATTAGCCCTCCAATTCAACTCAAAATCATTTGAAATTTTGCCAAATCTTTAATGACATTCTCCTATACCAAATTCAGCATTCAATTAGCCTAAATTTTAGCCCGAACTCAATTTCCATTTTAAAAGCCCAACCCCACCGCATATAATTCCAAATGTCGAAGTTCAAAGCCCATATGACAACTCTTCCGTTCATCATCCATTTAATCAAATATCACTTCCTAAGTTTTAATTTCATGATCAATTCATTCCAAATCAAGCCTCATGACAAACTCCACAAAATATATCAAAAATTCAAAATCTCTTCTCATGAAAATTAGCCAAGCCACAGGGCACAGCGGAGTCATGGAGCCACTCCTAAGCCATAGGCAAGTCATGAGAGTCATGCCACATCATTAAACTATTAATGACAAGAGGACAAGCCACTTTCAAACTTCTTTAAAAATATTTTTAACCCTTTTAATGAATCCTCTAAACCTCATACTTAACTCTCTTCAATTTAAGACCAACCTTGGTGGTTGAACCCAACCCAAACCATTTCTTGACCCAATTTGACCCAAAATGGATCTTTTCTCATACTATTTCAATCCCATACATTTACACATGGCCAACCCCAATTGACTTCACTAAGATCAAGCCCTAACCTCCATGAGTTAGATGGTGACCCCTCCCTGGCCGGAAAACCCAAAATCAAAAGCTCCACCATGGCCAAAACTCAAAATTAAACACATTCAAGCTGGCTCATCCCAATTGGATTTTTGCACATTATTGGCATCCACATAAGCAACTTAAAGCACCCACCAATTGCCCTTAGCTTGGCCAAAGGAGGAGAGCTTGAAATTCCTTGGGAAAACTCTGCCAAATTGCTTCCAGAGCTTCTCTGAGACCTCTTGAGCTTAACCCAACCATTCTTAGCCACTTAAAGTCACTGCTTGAGGTCAATTTTTTAGCCTAATCTTTAGGCTGAAACAGGACACCCTCAAACCTCCACCAAATTCAAATTAATTGCACTCACACTATCCCCACATCAAGAGAAGAAGATTCCCCACAAAAGCCCCATCACCAGAGCACCCTAAGGTGGACTTTGATCAAACCCCTAATTCGACCTTGGTCTAATTCATATCTAGGCGATTCACCATGGCTTGAGGCTCCATCCCCGTGGGGCCCCCACGAAGCTTCCACAAGCATCCAAACAAGGCTTACCCTCTTGGACCAACGTATTGAAATTTAACCCTAAACCGAGCTTCATTTGATTCTCTATGTGTACAGAGTTGATTTAAGGGTCAATTAACCATATGGATATGTTCTCCTAGTCAAAACGAGTCTATAGGAACAAACTGCACTTAATTTGGTTAAGTATCGAGCGAGATATTAACATTTGAAAATGAACGATTTTCGGGCATGGGTCATTGGGTACGATGACCATGTGTCGTCCGATGGAGCGTGTATCCATCAGATGGCTCTAATCAAGTAGGACGAGCCGCGGTTCGAAAAGGCAGAGCTGACGCAGATGTCGGTGCCATATCCCACGACGACACGAGTCTCTTCGACGCGTACGAGGATCCGATCAGCGCTGATTGGTTTAAGTAGAAAATTAGGGGATTTTTCTTATTTATTTAATTCCCAAGACTTAAAAAAATTCATAACTTTGTGTAGAAAAATTATAAAAATAAAATAAAAATATCGTGTTCCTCAGTAAAAAGAGGAGAATAATGTGGAAACATTTTCAAGTTTATTTGATGTATGTATTATTTTTAATTGATTAAATGGTGTTTTCCTTATTTTGATTCTCCATTTGCATAGACATTTCACCATGACTTGATCTTTGGGGCTATGATTCTACATGTTATGAGGATGCTCTTTCAGATTTTTCTAAGGTTAAGGGAGATCTCTAGGCATGGATATCTAATTTTCAAATTAATGGTCACTGTTTTGATATAAAATTTATAATAATTAAAATATTCATCAGAAAAATACAAAATTTGTTTTGGTAGGTTTATTGTGGTCAGAGGACCCTAGGAAAAATATAAAGCTGGTTTTAACTCATTAAAAATAATCCTAATTATCAGCAACCGTAAAAAATAAAATAAAATTAATCTGGAGTAATTATAAATGTAAATGGCATAAAAACTATTCCACGTTGTAATTTAATGTTAGGGGAGCTCCTCATAAAAATTTCAAGTCAATTGGAGTTAATTTGATAACTAAAAATGAATTTTTAAGATAAAATGACATTTTTTGTCATTAAAATAATTCTAACAATCAAAATACAACTCAAAAAATTACCAAAATTAGTTTTGGGAGCTCCTTATGACCAGAGGAACCTAAGAAAAATAAAATTGGAATTAAAATAAATATTTCATTTTTGAGCCATCTTTGGCCTTTCAATCACAAAATTGTGAAAACACATCAAAATGTCATATTTGGTTTCCTGATCATTTGGAACCAATTAAAATAATTTCCCTAATTTTCTAAGTCAAGATATTAATTTTGAAGGCTTAAAAATTATTTTTCCCTAATATTTCACTAAAATAATTCTAATAATTAAAATATAAGCCATAAAAATATGAAATTTGTTTCTTTGGGTCCCCTGGGCTCAGAAAGATTTAATAAAAATATAAAACTTAATTTTCCACTTAAATAATATCTTAAATTTAATTAATATTCAAAACAAACAAATAATTCTAATAATTAAATTAAATCCCTAAAAATCATGACCAAGTGGTCATCTAACCTATGTAAACCTCAAATAATTTTCTTAAGGGCAGAAGACTTGTTTTTAATTGAATTATTAAATTTTCATTGAAAATCCTTAGTTTTGCATTAAAAGTAATTATAACATTAAATA